TTCTCCATGTTTGCCAAAAACATTCAAGAGAGTTCTCTTGAAAACAGAGAAATTCTAGGTCAAACTGTGTCCAGGAAAAGCACCGTCCACCTCTACCTCCCCTGAGTCATGTTTTGTTCACATACAGCTAGTGATGGTGACAGACAGAGAACACGGTTCCCACAACGTTCTGACGTGTGATCATGCCAACAGTGAGGGAGAAACATGGCCACACTTGTGAGAACAAATAGGAGCCCCAAAGGACTGAGAACTCTGCAAGTGTGTATTAAGCTCGACACTGCCCTGTAGAAGACATGGGTTGACCTGAAATTTCCATGAAACAAGGTCAGGTGGTTTTTCCCAGCAACCCCACAGCTTTCCCAAAGTGTTGCTGCAGCAACACAAATAACATCAATATTGGTTAATTTATACCAAAAAAGCAACAACAACAAAAACTTGAGTTTCTAATAATCTGACAAATAATGGACAACACAAAAATAAACCAAATATGTAGCCAATGATGAACTGATTAAAATAAAATTCTACATTTACCCACAAATTTCTTCTCAATTTTCATGTTACTTTCCCAGGCACTAAAACTTAGAAATTGCTCTCATTTTAGCCTCAAATACTATGTCCTGTATCCAAGCAATCTCCATGTGGTACTCCTTTTCTTCAGTGTGGTGTGTTCCTGATTCTCCATGGGAGTACCCCAGTCCAAGGATCCACATCTGGATGCTTGCATTTTCTGACCATCTCCTAACCAGGTTTCCAGCAACATCCTTCTTTCCTACTGCTTGCTGCTACGTTCATATTTTCCCATGCCATTTTTCATACCAGCCTAAGACTCTTTTTTAGGCCCCTCCTGCCTGGTGGCTCTTCCTATTCATAAGCAGTGTGGACAGACTGACTTCCCCATTTAATAGGCCCAGGTCACTGGTCAATGGAGGAGTCACGCAGTGTGCAGGGAAAAGAGCCCAGCTCTGGCTGGGATGTCTCACTGTTAATCTCAGCTCTGTCATTTACTTCTTCAGAGGCTCTGAAGCTCTGTTCCTTAAGCTCTTGGCTTTCAGTAAACTCACTTGAAAAAATGGAAGTGACAGAATTGAGGTCAAGTGGTTATTATGAAAATTAGACACAACTTCTGTCGAACTAGCTTGGTGCTGCTCAGGTACAGTACCCCACCTTTGTCCACATTAGACCTCAGTCTCCCTGCACCCCTATCTGCTACTCCTGAAAGCTGTAAAGGGGGTGTGGAACAAAGATAGAAACAGCTGTGTAGGACCTACTGCTCCACAGGGGTCCTTTCCAGCAAACCCTCAACTGGATCATATTTTTTAACAGTGCAAGTAAAAATGCCATTCCTGGGAAATTATTTCCTCTCAAGAAAAATACATGAATAAGATCTTGTCATACAGAATTCCCTAGGCAAAGTAATTGTCAGTAATTCCTCATTCCCATTTACTTGAAAAAATCAACAAATATTCATCAAGTACTTATTAAACACCAGACACTGAAGTACTAAAAATATGAACACATGCTATCTAGACATAATGATCAATTATGAAAGATAGGAATTTGATACACATTCAAAAACAAGGATGTGTGTGGCAATCAAAATATTATAAAATAATAGAAAAGGAGGAAGACAGAAGAGCTAAGCTTAGGTCAGAGGATATGGTAAGTCTACATAGATGTGCTTTCAAATTAAAGTGTGACTCTTATGAAGAGGGAAGGTTTACTGAAACTAAGCAGGAGGAAAGCCTTTCAGAGTCAGAGACAAGCCTTCCTGAGCAGGAAATCTATCTAGATAAAGGTGTACACAGACCTAAAACACATAAATTAAATCAAAAGTTCCAGAGGTAGGGCTTGGTTAGAATGTGGAGTTCTGGGAAAGAAGAAAAAGGTACCAGTTAAGATGATACCCAGAAGCAGGTTTGAACTTTAGCCTAAGGGCATAGGAAAGTGAAAGTATAGACTTTAATTCCAGGTTTTTCACAGACTGAGATCTTTGTGGCTTTTTAACTTTTATACATAGAGCTGTAAGAAGTGGTATGCGGTTACACACGCTCTGACACATTCCAAGAAAAAAATGCTATGTGAGAAACGACTGATGATCTTTCCTAAAGAAGTCTGGGTAGTGGTGTTCGGGAAAGCAATACACGAGGGAAGGAGATGACACACTCACTGGCTGCTGGATACCAACAACAGAAAGGCGAGGAGGGGAGGATAGCAAAGGCTCAGGCATTAACAGTAGGGATGAGCAGAGGAGTTTAACGGGATAGCTTGTGCATTCACAACAGAATTGCCACTTCTAGAGATGCTCCCTCAGTCTCCTTCTGGAAACACAGGAACATAATGATCTCATTTATCCTGGTCCCCAGGAACTTTGGGGTGGCATGTCATAGTCAGTGTAGAGTTAAGGAATCATAGAGGCACTTTTTGTCCACTTCTTTCATGTCTGACTTAGGTAATTTACACTTACTAGCTTTTAAAGTATGCCTTTGAGATCTGAGGCTCTCTACCTATATCTCTATCTGTCCCTCTCTGTCTCTGTCTCTATTCCCCTCCAGAGATTGATCCCTGAACCTCATGCATGCTAGGTAGGAAGACCTGTCCCATGCTGGGTAGGCAAGCACTCTACCAACAGGCTATATCCTCAGACACTTTATGGTTCTTTTTCATTTTGAGACAATGATTCACTAGGTTGACAAGATTATTTTTGAACTCACTCCATAGCCCAGGCAGGCTTTGTGCTTATAATCCTCCTGCCTCCCCCTCCTAAGTAGCTAAGACTATAATCCCGTGCCAACATACCCAGCTAGAGATTGTACTGAAGGATAGATAAGAGCCTGTGTAAAAAGTACATTGACCACCCCTTGGAATATGGCAGCTGTTCCATGGGATAGGACCTCATACTATACATAAAGCCACAAAGAACAGGGTTGGTCCTCCAAGAATAAGAAACAGAGAAGGGAGAAGTCTGTCAACGTCTATGTCCCACAGATATTGAATCTAAATTCTTAAGGTAGTAGACAGCAAGTGCAAATTTTTCCGTGGTAGTGTGTTTGACTGTGACTCTGCAGCTGATAATTCACATAGATAACAGGAATATGGCTGCTAATTCAATAGTCATCGAGTCAACCCACAACAAACATACAATTAAGATGCCAGGAATGGCTGTGGCAAAGAGAGAAAGCAAAAGAACGAGAGAAGGTTTTTTTAGAAGATTCTTTCTTTTCTATACCACTAACAACCCTCTACCTCCCTGGCCAACCACCAGCAAGCTTATTCTCAAGCTGATGCTGCTCATTTAATGGAACTAAAATATATTACCAGCTTACTTTCTGCATCTCGTTCAGGGTAAGGAGCCCACAAGCATCTAAGCATCCAAGACTCCATTGTTTCCTCCTCCTAGTCTAAGCCAACATCGCTATTCCCTGCAGATTCCTGATGCCTAAGATTAGGGAGGTCCGATGCCCTAAAAGTAACCCACTCTACTCTCCTAAGAGAAGCAGAAGCAGAAGAAGCCAAATGAGCCACGCTGCAATTGTGCAGCTCTAGGGAGGACTTCTTTCACATTCTACTGAGACAGGGACACTGCCTTCTGGCTAAAAGATATGAGAGGTAAGATGAGTTGACTGCTTAATTCTGAGCCCTGTTACAACCCATAGATGTAACATGTTCTACCAACACCCAACCTGTCCTACTGGCTCAAGAAGTCCCCGGGGCTATTTATTAGGTAACTCAGACCAGCTCAATTTAAGGAGGATGAGGTGTCAATCACTCATGATGACTACCCGAATGCCATAGTGTAGGATAACAGGAAATGGAGGCTGGAGAGATGGCTCCCAAATAAAGGGGCCTGTTGCCAAGGCTGACCCCTTGAGTTAGATCCCAGGGATCCACACGATGGAAAGAAAGAAACAATTCCTTCTTATAAGTTGTCCTCTGTGTTCCACACATGAGTGGTGACACATGTATACCCAAACACACATGCACACAAAACCACACTGAATAAATAAATGTAACTCAGAAATTAAAAATAACAGGAAACATGAAATAGTTATGTTAACCTTAATTTCCCTAAAGATGGCAACTGTGTTTGTTTGGAAAACTGCCCAATCCCAGGATGGCAATTTAGTACTGGTCCCTTAAGTAATTGAACAAACCTCCATTGGTCTTTTCCTTCTATCAAAAAGGGACCCCAGTTCTCCCAAGATCTGCAGTGGATTCCCATTTTCCCAGCTTCAGTGACAGCAGATCTGCGTGCAAAACTCTACAGATTACACTAATGTCCCTCTCAAAATGTCTCCAGCCACAACAGGCAATGTCATGTCTTCACTTCCAACTCTTTTTCAATAGTCATACCATGAAACTGACCCCAGCAGCGTGTGGCCATCAAAGGATAAATTCAGCAACCATCTCAGTGAGTGTTGTCCTCACAATGCTTATTTACTGTCACCATGGAACAATGTCACCAGCCCCTTCCCAAGGCTGACAAACGGGATAGCAATCCCAAACCAATCCATCTCACAAAGATAGGAGAGAAAGTCGTGGGAGAAGGGATGAAGATCGCTTTTCTGGACTGAAGGATTTACCCCCTTAAGAGAGGGCAGTGCTCAGTCCCTTTTTAAAAGACCTTAGCAATGCAAAGTTGCCACAGCAAATGACATCCAGACAGATCCTGGAACGATTGGGATCTCACAGACTAATGACATCTGGAGATAATAACAGATTACACAGAATAATCACATCAGTTATATTCTTAAGTAAGGCTCTACCTGGAGCCACTTCTCTTTCTCCAGTCAGAATACTGAAAGCAGATGGCTTCTCCTCGAGCAGCGCGGCTCCCTAACCTACATAGTTCCTGGAGCAGAAATGATCCTCCAGCAAATCTGGGGTTTGCTCTGCTCCCTCTCCCAAAGAACAGGATCGCTATGTCCGCATGGGGTGGCCGGGCCAGTGCTTTGAAGCCACACTCTGGTGAAGAGGCTGGGACAGGAGGAGGGACAACTCACCATTTGATTGCTATACCAGTAGAGAGAAGACCCCTTCAGCACCACCCAGAACTTTTTCCATTTGTTGCTTAGGAAAGTTCCCTTTTCCTTTTTCTTATACAGCCAACCCTGGCAGTCAGCGTGGCCCAGATCTTTACACGATATCCTCCTCCGACTCATGGTGAAAAAACCTGCAACAGTTACACAGGTAAGTGTGACCCGGACTCCAGTGACAAAATAAAAGGCAAGTTTTAGTCTTTTGCACAGCAAACGCTGCACATTTTCATTCATGCAAAGTGAACATTAAAAAAAAAATCCACATATCCGTTCTATTTTTAAACATTCACTTGGTACCTCGAAAACCCGGGCAAAGAGGCAGTGAGAGAGACAGGCAAGCATGGCCGGACAACCTTAGTCAGAGTTAGTTGAAAACGTTAGACTCCCGGGGCTGGAAGGCACACACAGGGGTCCTTCCCACAGTAACGGCGGCAGCTATGCAAGAGGCACAGAAGGGTTAAAGGGTTAAAGGCCACCCAGGAACAGTGCCAGCTCTGTGCACAGAGCGCGAGGGACTGGCCAAATGAGCAGCGTGTCATTCTTTCTTAAAAATCAGCCCAAAAGCAACCAAAAAAAATTAATCTGGCATCCGTCCCCTGATACTAAGATTCAGACAGACAAGAATCTGATTTCATACACACACACACAAAAAGAAGGCATCCAGGAGGAAAAAAAAAACAAAAAACAAAACAAAAAACCCATGCTCACATGCACACGAAAGGGATAAACGAACAAAAGAGATCTAATTACCTGGAGCTTTCTTCCTCGGCTTCTGACGCAAGGGAACCTGCTGGAAATGCAGGAAGGAAAGAAAAGAGGAAATTTCTGATTGTGTTGTAACATTTGTAAAGAGAGAAGGAGGGAGGGGGTGGCCGTGTTTATGCGCAGGGAGGATTCTAAAAAAAAAAAAAAAAAAAAACTCTCAGAGCAGAGCGCAAAGGGAGCTACAAGCCGAGGCACAAAATCTGCTAATTAGAATCGATATACACTGAGCTGAACCTGGAAAAAAGAGTAAAGTAACAGGCATTTATCTGTACCGCTTCCTGTTTCCTCCCACGAGCAGCTCCGCTACTACTTAGGTTAAGGCGGCCCTGGGTTTGTTGAAGTTTAAAAAAAAAAAAAATCATGAAATACTTTACCTGTATATATTTTTTGAAAGAAGAAACAATATCTCTTTTTTATCCTCAGGTTCTAAATAATATCGAGTATTTAAATAAAACTGGATAATAATTGTTTCCATCTCAAGCTATTAAATGCTCACATCAGACTGGCTTCATGGTCTTGCTAATATGCAGGGTTCTACCTAAACCACGTGAGTTAAATAGCCCTGGAAAGAAACTTTTTATCTCTTCCTGTGACCTCAGGGGCTCCAAGGCTTCCTGATTGGCAATTTCTTATTTGCAGACTAATTTACATATCTTATTCTATCTTTATTTCTGAATATTTCTCACATGTCTTATAGAAGATAAATATTCAAATATTCAAATCAGACATGACAATTTATGTAAAATATAGACATTTTCTACAACACATTTTCACCAAGTCATGTAAAATCAGATTCCAAATAAAACTGGGAAACCCAAAGGAAAAAAATACAGTTGAAAATGTCTTTCCCACTGTGTGTGTGTGTTTGTGTGTTTATACAAATACTTGAGAGAAATAAGCTTTTAAAAACCTCATTTTTCTTCTACAGCATCTAAGCTGAAATTCTTCAGGTTTAAATAATTTTCACTTATGAAACACTTAACAAGCAGAGACTTTTTAAAGCTTAAGCATGCAATTAAAAAGTAGTTCAAAGCATTGGTAGATAGTGTCATGAAATTTGGGCACTTGGGATGCATCTGGGTAGTGGTCCACACATCCAACCTCTGACGAATGGCATTTATGGTTCCGCCTTATATTTGACAAGGTGATATGATCTACAGTGGAAATAGAATAGAAAATTCAAAGCCACAGGCCCAAAATTAATGGGAAGATATATTATCCAAGGAAAGGTCACTCTAAATCCATTTCTTCATTTGTAAAATTAAGATATTTACGAGAAATACTCAGGAGGCTAAGGATAGAAACTTAAGAGCAAAAACCAGTCATAAATATATATATATATACATATATATATATATGACTTCTAATCCCATAAGTCTCAAATAGATCTGCCAAGATTTACTTGTGAAAATACTCTGATAACTAAAAATCATCTTTCTATGAATAATCAGGTATCAATGCTTTGTGGAGATATGTTAAAATAAGCAGACCCCTAATAAACAAAACTTATTATATTAAAGTGTTTCCCTCAGCAGGGAGGATGGAGAGGAGGTTGAATCGTGTGTCTTCATGGATGCAAGATCGGTGCAATCCTGAACTGGTTTTTTAGTTTATGAACATCCTTTCTTCCCTTGGATCATTGATTGATCTCTTTGAGCATAATCTTTAAACAAATTCAACTTGTGACAATCATGGCATGCTAATTAAGTCTAAACATATTATCATATTAAGGAACTCATCTGCCCTTCCTTTCCCAAATATTTCCCACACTGCACTGCCAACATCTTGGTCTAAGATTCCCTACTATTCCTTAGTCTCTGAGCTTTTTCTTTTTATGCCTATATCCTGGGATCAATAAACCCAATTAGCACCTACTGGTTATACAATACTGTCCAAATAGAGAGCTGGGGCTGAAGGCAAAGAGCATAAGTGAACTTGATTTCAGTATGGTTTGGGAAATATGGGAGCCCAGGGAGCATGTGAAGTAACTGAGAACCGGGAGTGTGGGAGAAAGCAGAGGTACCCGCACTGATTCCTAGAGGGCAGGTAAACAAGATGAAACTATCAATTCAAACAGCAACAGCAGCTCTAAAAAAGAACAAGCAGCTAGACGTGGTGTTGCATGCCTGTAATCCCAGCACTCGGGGAGGCTTAGGCAGCCAGATCTCTGTGAGTTTGAGGCCAGCCTAGTCTACAAAGCATGTCTAGGACAGCCAAGGCTACAGAGAGAAACTCTGTCTGAAGGAGGAGGAGGAGGAGGAGGAGGAGGAGGAGGAGGAGGAGGAGGAGGAGGAGGGGGAGGAGGAGGGGGAGGAGGAGGGGGAGGGTAAGGGGAGGGGGAGGCAAGTGGGAGGCAAGGGGACAGCTATGGAGCTATGGAAGGGAAGCACAGAGGTGACTTTTCATTCCTGGCTCCTGACCGATGGGACAGGAAGCTGAGTGTCTGCTGTCATTGCTTGATGGGTCCCAGTGACACAGCCAGTTCCTCAGCTCCAACAAGCCTAAGACGTTTTCCAGGGAAATCCCCAAGTCAAAAATGTGTCTTCATTTCTCCTTGGAACAGCCCTAGGACTACAGCTGGATTCTCTCACTTAATCTGGGTTGAGACACAGCCTCTAAGCAGTGCTCCATCGCTCCAAGCTCCTTGTGCCCTGCCCTGAGAGTCCTCCCCCAACACAGTCACCAGCTGCTCCGTGTGTCCCCTGGCCAGACACAGCTGCACCTTAGAGAAATAACAAATTACCACGGGTTTCGGTGTCACCTGATAGATGTGAATCTGAAACCCCAATTGCTCTACAAGAAGGAATGAAAACAACCTTTGAGAGCTTCACTGAGTCTAAGACACATTTTCCCTCCTCACAACAGGAAGTGGAACCCATGAACTAGTCAGTTTCAAGACCTTCATGTGGCTTTCTCACTGGTAGGTGAAAACACTAGCAGCCGCTTAAGCGTTTTATGAGATAGTTTCAACCTTCACAGACATTTAGAGTTTAAGAAGATATTTATCCCAATTTACTTTCTTTCAGTTTGAAAGTTATAGAGAAAAACTGACAACTTATTCTAAAGATGTAAATTTTCTAGACCTAGAATTTGGGGGGAATTCTCAATGAAAACATACATAGTTTTCATTGAAGAAGAGTATAGTTTTCTTTTGGCCTTGGGAAGATGGCTCAAATGTTTTGAGGGCTGAGGAGACGACTTGGTAAAGCGCTCATTGCACAAACATGAGGACCTCAGTTAGATGCCTAGAAATCATGTTAAAAGTTCAGCTGTGGTGATGTGTTTGTAATGTCAGCGTTTGGAGGCAGAAACAGGCAGATCCCTGGAACTTGCTAGCCAGCCAGACTAGTCTACTCAGCGAGCTTCAGGACAATGAGAGACTCAAATAATATGATGTATGGTTCCTGAGGAATAATTCCTGAAGTTGACCTTTGACCCCCACATACACACAGTTACCTGCACATACACATGCATGTTCAGTGATTCTAGACTTTAGCAAAAAACACATAGTGATAGGCTGATATTCTAGTTTTATTTCTATAAAATACTGCAGCAAAAAGCAACTTAGGGGAGAAGGGTTTATTTTAACTTGTAAGGCCAGGTTTAAACCATCGCTGTGGAGGGAGGAAGAGCATCTGGAACTTGAAGCAGCTGGTCACCATCGCATCCGCAGTCAGGAGTATAAGAAAATAATGCGCACATGCACACTTCCTTCCTTATGCTCCCCTCGCTCTTACACAGTGCAGGACCCCCTGCCTAGGGAATGGCGATGCCCACAGTGGACGGGTCTTCACCATCATCGATCAACCTAACACAATCCTTCCAGCAAATGCAGACAATCCCTGGCTGAGATTCTCCTGCCGGATGACTCTAGATTGCATTGAGCTAACAATTAAAGCTGGTCCTCAAAGTGGACCAACAGTTCTTCATTCTCAGGAAAACTGGCTTGCAGCATCTGTCACTTTTTGTGGTACAGTTCCTCACATGCCTGGCTGTAAAAACTATCATTCCTTACGAACTAAGCGACAAAAATCTTTTGCATTTGGGGTTCTCTGCCAATACTTGGCACTTCCACAAGTCTCTTTCTGTATTGTTGGAAAATTAAACCCAACTTTTTAAAGGGAATTGTAAGCCATTTGAGTGGTAAAAATTTACCTGTAATGATACGCTAAGACTTTGCTTAACTTTTTCAGAAAACAAGTCAATTCAACCAACTTATGATAAGAAAATGTCTCTCTGGTAGTAAATAATGAAGATAGGTAATGGGAGTCTGCCTTTGCCTGTGATCACATGGAAAAGCCATGACAAAGGATAAGGATAAGAACCTGATGGAAGAGCAACACATAAAGGAAAGTAATGAAAAAGATCCCCGAGGAAATCTGAACGGGGATACCCCGAGTCAAACTCAGGAGAAGAGTATCCTGGAAGCGAGGGAGACTCCAGAGAAAGCTTCCAAACTCTGTTGCTGGAAAGGAAAAGGTTCGTTAGAGATTTTCTCTATTATTACTTTTTCTTATCACTGTGACAAAATATCTTATAAGAGCAGCTTAAGTGGGGGGCTTATTTGGGCTCACAGTTTCAGGAAATATATCACCATAGACAAGGTACAGGGCAGCAGGTACGTCTGGGACAGGGGAGCTTAGAACTGTCACTTTGGTCCAGGAAACAGAGATCCAGATCAGAAAGCGGGCTATGTCCTCCAAGCTCACCCCTAGGGGCCTTCTTATAGTAGGTAGGCCTGGTGTCTCAAGGGCTCTACAGCTTCACCAAACTGAGACCATCTAGGGACACAAGAACACAAGCCTGTGGGGGACATTTTGGATTTAGACCATAACAGAAATCTGGGCTATCTAGTCCCCATGCTATTTGTAACCATAAGACAAATTCCAGCAGGTCCCGCATAAGTGGGAACTAAGGAAGTATACACAGCACTGATGACTACTGGAAACAGGAGTCGTGACAGCACCTGGCAGACTCAAGGATGGATAAAGCCACGCACTTTCTCTCAAACCAAGATTTCTGCTTAAACTAATTGTGCTCAGCAAAATAAGTATACT